CCTCATTTGCTCCCTCCCTCCCTCTATCCCTCCCCTCCTTCTCCTCCTCGTCCTTCTCCTTATCCTTCTCCTCCTTCTCCTCCTCCCCCCTCCTCCATGCGCGGCAGGAGCGAAACGATTGGCGAAACCCCAAGAGGCCCCGAGATGGCCCCATGTGGCCCCAAGAAGCCCCCACAAGGCCCCCAGGATGCCCCCAAAAGGCCCCCAAGAGACCCCCAAGAGGCCCCCCAGAGGCACCCAAGACGCTCCAAGAGGCCTCGGCGAGACTGCCAAAATCATCGATTTGACTAAAAATTTTGGCCACATTTAGGCCTCCTGGGGGGGGGGCGCTGCTTCGGATGACTCCAAGAGCGCCTGGGGGAGTCCTGGATGACCTCCAAGATGGCTCAAGATATCCCAAGATGCCTCTAGATGGCTCCCACGATGCTCCAAGAGGCCCCAAGACCGCTTCAAGACGGCTCCAAGTGGCCAAAATGCTCCCCCAGGAAGCCCCGTAGGAGGCCAAAATCCTTCCAAAACCTACGGGAAATCAATGTCTTGGGCTTTCTCGCCTTTCCGCTTCCGATGGCCATCCGAGGCTTCACGATGACTCCAAGATGGCCCAAGAGGGCCCCAAGAGCGTTCCCAAGCTCCCAAGGGCGCTTCAAAAAGACCCCAAGAGGCGCCCAGGAGGCCCAAACAGGCGCCCCTGAGGCCTCCAAGAGGCCCCCCAGAGACCCCCAAGAGGCGCCAAGAAGCTCTCCGAGGCACCCAAGACGCTCTAAGAGGCGCCCAGGACCGCCAAAGAGGCCCCCAAGACGCCCCAAGAGGCCTCCACTAAGGATGGAGGCGCTTCCTCTGGGCATCGTTTCTGGATGGGCTGGTGGGGATACTTTTTTTTTCGCGAGCGCAAGCGGAGAAGCCGCGCGCCGTCAACACGATCCAGCGAGGACCTAGGAAGCAGCGGCCGGGAACGAGGCTAGGCGCGCGCAGCGGGCGAGCAACCGAAAAAGGGGACACTGGTGGGGTTACTTTTTTCGGTCGCATCCACCAGCGAAGGCGCTATCGGAGTCAGAAGCGCTACGGGTCACGACAGCGGCCTAATTAGCAGCTAAACGCGCCGCGAGTCGGCCGGACCACTCATCCAGCGGCGGCTGTCTGCGCGACTGGTGGGGTTACGCGAAGCGTCTAGAATTTTTCTCCTGTTTCGAACTAGTATCACTAATACAACTATCCTAATTCTTCTACATTGTCTAACTGTCTTGAGTGTTCTAACTCTTCGAGGTGGCAACACACCTTTGCAAAGAGTAGCGCTCCCACTACAATTGAAGCTCGAATGCGCTTCCCACGTGAGACTCCTGAGCGGCGTAGGCGAATGCCGCCAAATCCTGTACCGCATCTGTCACGGGCTCATGCAGCCGAGTGCACTTGAAGAACACATCATCATCGTCATCATCATCATCATCATCATCATCATCATCATCATCATCATTATCATCAGCATCATCAGCATCATCATCATCATCATCAGCATCATCATCATCAGCATCATCATCAGCATCAGCATCAGCATCATCATCAGCAGCATCATTATCATAAGCATCACCCTCATCATCATTCTCATCATCATCATCATCATCATCCTCATCATCCTCATCGGCATCATCATCGTAATCCTCATCCTCATCAGCAGCATCAGCAGCATCAGCATCGACACCAGCACCACCAGCATCAGCATTAGCATTAGCATCAGCATCAGCATCAGCTAGAGCATCATCATCATCATCATCAGCATCATCATCATCATCATCATCATAAGCATCAGCATCAGCATCATCATCAGCATCGTCATCATCATCATAATCATCATAATCATCATCACCATCATCATTACATTCTTCACCATCAGCAGCATCAGCAGCAGATCATCAGCATCAGCAGCAGCAACAGCATCATCATCATCAGCATCAACATCAGCATCATTATCCTTACAATCACCATCACCATCACCATCACCATCATCAGCAGCAGCATCAGCATCAGCATCACCAGCAGCATCAACATCATCATCAGCATCATCATCATAGTCATCCTCATCCTCATCCTCATGTTCATGATCCTGATCCTCATCCGCATCCTCATCATCATCAGCAGCAGCATCAGCATCATCACCCTCACCCTCACCTGCACCTGCAACCTCACCCTCAACCTCACCCTCACCCTCACCCTCATCACCATCACCATAACCATCACCATCACCATCACCATCCTCATCCTCATCCTCATCCTCATCCTCATCGTCATCCTCATCCTCATCCTCATCCTCACCCTCACCCTCACCCGCATCCTCATCCTCATCCTCATTCCCATCCTCATCCTCATCCTCATCCTCATCCTCATCCTCATCCTCATCCTCATCATCACCATCACCATCACCATCACCATCATCATCATAAATATAATCATTATGAACATTATAATCACCTTCCTCCTCCTCCTCATCATGATCATCATCAGCATCATCATCCCCCCGAAGCACCCGGACCCATGGGGCACGGGTTGGCGGCGGGCACGTAACTGTTTCCAGAAGGCAGGTGGCCTCCTTGAAGGGACCGGAGGCTTCGAAGGATGCCTCTTGAAGCCAGGAGTGCCTCATGCCCCCCCGCCCCACCCCCGCTGTACGCTGTGCGCGAAGACAGCCCACAACATTCTCCTCCGAAATCCGCCGACCCCTTGGGGTCACGGCGTGTGAGATGCTTCCCCCTCCCCAAACCCCTCCCCCCCGAGCGCGGTCCGGCCGGTTTGGAGGGGGGCGGAGGGGCGGGGGGCAAAGGTGTCAGCCGCACCCTTGGAGCCTCAGGGGTCCCAAAAGCGGGCCAGGAGGGCCCCAAAAGGCCCCCCGGACGGTCCAAGATGGCTACGAGTCGCCGAAAGGTCGCTCCAAGACGCCCAAGATCGCCTCCAGACGGTCCCAGAGGCCCCCAAGACGCCCCAAGAAGCCACCAAGAGGCGCCCCCAGAGGCCCTCCAGAAGCAAACATCGTCCCAATTCCCAAGGGAAATATTTTTTTTAGCAATTTCCTTGGTCTTTCACGAGGCCCAAAACGGCCCAAGAAACCTTTAGAGATCGACCCAAGATAGCCCAAGAGGCCCCCAATAGGGCTCTAAGACGGCCCAAGAGGGCCCCAAGACGGCCCCAGAAGCTTCCAAAACGACCCAGGAGGGCCCCAGGACGGCCCCAAGAGGAGGCCCAAAAGGGGAACCCGAATGAACATCTCGAGCACTCGGCCCCGAAAAAACCTGAGGCGCCAATCGGCCCCCAAGAGGCTCCCACGAGGCCCCCGAGAGGCCAAAAAGATGCTCCTAGAGGCCTCAAAACGGCTCCCAAGAGGCCTCAAAAACGCTGCCAGGAACCCCCGAGAAGCCCAAGAGCAGAGCAACGATCCGCCAACCGCCCCCGACGAAATCCCAAGAAGCAGAACCCCCAAAATTCTCCAGAAATCGTTCCGCGACCTCCGTTTTTCACTCTAAATGCCGCACGAAGGGGTCGGCGGTGCGGCGTCAGCCAATGAATCCACGTCCGGAGGTGACGTGCTGAGCGGCAGCGTTTTTCGGCGAACGCCTTAATGCAACGTATCCAATGTACCCAAAGATTCCATACTTGCAACATATTGTATTGTGCTACATTATTATGTCTCCCCCCGAACCCCCCCTTGGGAGCCGCGCCACAGCGCCGTACCAAACTGGTCGGCCCTCCTTCTGGGGCCCCAAACCTATAAACACGCATGAACAAATCAACAAGTTCTGCCTCTTGGGCCTCTGGGGACTCCAAAAGCCTCAAGATGGCCCAAGACGGCCCCAAGACGGCCCAAGACGGCGCAAGATATCCCCAACGGGGGCCCAGGAGGCCCCCAAGACGGCCCCCAGAGCCCCAAGGACGGCCCAAGAGGGCCCAAGAGCGCCCACAACTGCGCCTCCAGAGGTCGAAATCATTGATTTTCCTATGGTTTTGGAAATCTGTTATCGTTTTTCGCCTTTTCCAACTCTCAAAAATCCATGACGGCCCAAGCAGCTTCCATATCGCCCCAGAGCAGCCCAAAAAGCTCCCAAGAGGGCCCCAAGACGGCCCAAGAGGGCCCAAGACGGCCCAAAGAGGCCCGCAAGACGGTCCAAGAGGCCGCGAAGACGGCCCAAGAAAACCCCAAGAGGGCCCCAATGCGGCCGCGAGAGGCCCCCAAGACAGCCTCCGAAGGGGCGAAACGGCGCAAAAGCGCCCCAAGACGGCCCAAGACGCCCCCAAGAGGCCCCCAAGAGGTCTCCAAGAAGTCCCCCAGAAGCCTCCAAAGGCCCTCAAAAAGCCCCCCAAAGGCCACACAGCGACTGGAGTGAACTGCGGCGCAGCGCCAGCCAGGTGGAAGTTGGTCACTGCGGCGCCCATGATTAGAGCCGGCGCTGGAAGGGAATATGGGGAGGGTGTATGAAAAGGGGGGAGGGGGGAAAGGCCCCAAAGAAGTCCCCAAGAGGCCAAAAGAAACTCCCAGGAGGCCTCCAGGAGGCCCCAAGAGGCCCCGCAACGACGTGACTGTACGTGCTCCGGACGTGCACCCCGCGAAGCGAGAGGAATCGCAAGAGCAGCTTGCGCAGGTGTGCTTCGCGGCGCTGGTGGTCTGGGCTGGCCCATCCATTTTCTGGACCCCTCCTGGCCCTTTCAGCTGAGTCTAAGCGTGGCCACGAGCCCCCCCGAGGTCAAGCCCAATAAGTCTCCCGCTCGCGATCTGACCAACAGCTCGCGACGACGCCATCCCATGCAACTCCTCCCCAACAGATGGGCAGTGACGGCCGACTGCCGACTGACGGCTGACGGCTAGGCGCTCAGGACTGACGACCGACGTCCAGCTCTAGCGGCTGGCTGATGGGCCAATTATCCACCTCCACTACCCTAGGCAGGAAAGGGAGGAGGAGGAGGAGGAGAAGGAGGAGGAGGAGGAGGAGGAGGAGGAGGACTTTCTCATCATCCGTTCTCCCCCGTCCTACATATGGTAATGGCGGTGGTGGAATATTTGCCCAGCGGCTGGCGGCAGCTGCCGAGCCGACGGCCGACGGCTAACGGCCCGCCGCAAGCGGCAGTCTCTCCGCCACGGCCTCCGGGCCCGACCACGCCGAGAACGCCCGCCCCCTCGCCGCTGGGCGAGAGCTTCTCTGGCGGGGCGTCAGGTGGGTGGACTTGCTCCTGCGCGTCTCGCCAGCGCTGCCGCTGGAGCTTGTTTTTTTAGATTCAGGCAAATTTACTTGCATGGTGTTCGCCCCCCCCCCCCTTCTCCCTCGCCCCTCTTCAAACAAACACTGGCGTGCAAGTGCCTTTCAACTTGCGTGATCTCCGCACGTGCCAATTGTTTGCGGCTTGCTTCAGGTTCAACCCCCCTCGTCCATGCAAATAAACTCACCGGGGTCTAAAAAAACATGCTCCTGGCTGGGGGCGGAGGAGGACGACGGCCTCGACCGGCCACAACTGGGGGCAGCCGCGCCACTTGTAGGGAAACGAACTCCATACACCGGCGCTTTCCCCGGCCCTGCACTTAATTTTGCAGCCAGGAAAAACGGATCCTAATGTATACGGAACCCTGGTGTGTACATTTTTCGCTGTTTCCCAAGGAAAACCGGGGAAAAAGTATACACCACACCACCCCGACGTCGTCTCCAACCCTCAAAAGTCCTGGGAACGAAAAACAGCCCGCCACTGATTCTCCAATTTCCCACCTTGGCCCCCACCCCCTCCTCTGGCGTAAGCCATCGTGGCGACGATTCCTCCCGTGAGGGTCGTCGGAGCCGAGGAAATCCTCCCGGGGGCCTAACAGGACCGGGCTCCCCCCCAGCTGCGGCGGGTCTGCGCCGAGGGGGCGGAGGGGGAGGTGGATCTTCTCGGCGGCGAGCGAGGGGGGTGAGAAGGAGAAGGCCTTCTCAAAGGCGGCGGGACTTCTCAGAATCCCTTGCGCCTTCTCAGAGGTGTTCTGTGTCTCCGGGGAAGGCTCAGAAAACTTCTCAGAAGGCTGGGGGGGACTTCCGAGCCTTCTGAGAAGGCCCGCCCCTTCTCACCTTCCCCCCTCGCTCGCCGTCGAACTTCTCCCCCACGGCGACAACATGGCCGTTCCAGCTCGGGGCACAAGAATGTGCAGCTAAAACTAAGAGCAACGCACCTGCCAATCCTGATGTACGGAGCGCGTACGCAAACCAACGACTAAGAAAACTGGGGACCCACAGAACGAAAGCCCACGAGCGACCGGTATCAGCTCGGATAGGAGATCTCCCTTGGCGTCGATGGCCTATGCCACGCATGCCCAGCAGAAATAGTCACTCGTCCTACGTACGGTGATTCACGATCACTGGCGCAACATTTGACCCTGCAGATTCTGGCCTCAGCTGTGTGGCAGACGAGTTCCAGATCCTGCCTTGGCTTTTCCTGGGTCGCTGCGCGGTGAGAACTGGCTGTCGATGCGAATGCACTGCCTCACTGACGCCTGCCAGGCATCTTCAGAGCGAGGGCCCCCACTCCAAATTCCCGTATGTTCGTGTTTGATGGCCTCTGCGAGTGGGCGTGAAGATCTTGGATAATGCTCTTGACTGAACGTCTTATCCAATTGACGGAGAACTTTCTCCGCTGTGGCTATAATCCAGAGCTCGTTTGCTCCCTTCACCATGTCTTCTATACTGTAATCAGGCGACTGCTCTAGATCATCGCCTCCCCGAACACCCAATACTTCGCTTGGCCATGTCAGATCCTGCTGCCATTCGCCACCTTGCTCGCACATGCATATCGGGGCCCTGACAATCTTCAAACCTAGCTGCAGCCGTGCTGTCCCGGGGGAGGAGAGGGACCCGCTGGCTCCTGCGCCTGTCGCCAGCGGCGGCGCAGCCAGCGCGGGCCTGGCAACCGCGGGCGACGGGGGCGTGCGCGGCGTGCGCGGGCAACGAGGACGAAGGGCGGCACCGAAGAAGGCCTCCTCGTCAACCGCCTCCCCTTTCCTCCGCTTCTTCCTCCTTCCTCATCCTCCTCTCCAAACTCCTCATCGTGATCACATCATCGTCACCACTACAGCAACCATCACCACCACCATCATCATCAACAACAGCAGCATCATCATCATCATCATCATCATCATCATCACCACCACCACCACCACCACCACCACCACCATCATCATCATCATCATCATCATCATCATCATCATCATCATCATCATCATCATCATCATCATCATCATCATCATCATCATCATCATGATCATCATCATCATCATCATCATCATCATCATCAGCATCATCAGCAGCACCACCAGCATCATCACCACTACCATCACCATTAACATCAACATCACCATGAACCTTACCACCACTACCATCACCAACACCATCACCATCAACATCATCATCAACATCACAACCACCACCATCATCCTCAACCTCGTCGTCATCATCATCATCATCAGCAGCATCATCGTTGTAATCGTCGTCATCATCACCACCATCATCATCACCCCCCTCCTTATCCCCTGTTCTTCTTCATCCTCCTCCTCCCACGTGTTTTCTCCCCCGTTTCCTCCTCCTCCTCCTCCTCCTCCCGAGTGTCCAACGACGTCTGAACGACAACGACGCCTGACAAAGACGACCTGAGACCCCGTCGACAACCACAACGGCGAGACCGACGACGAACGTCCGACGAAAACAATAACCACCTGCGACCCGCTCGACGGCGACAACGACGACGACAACGACGACGACGACCGACCCCGACGGCCGACGTCGACACTAACGACGATGCCCTGGGCCTCGGCAGGGTCCACCTTGATGTTGGCCGCCGCCAACAGCGCGAGGAACTTGGCCTCGGCTGTCGCGGCGCCTGATCCAGCAGCCTGCACCGAGGTGGAGCGCCGACGGCGACGGCGACGGAGAAAACGACGACGACGACGCCGACACCGACGTCGACGACAGGGGAGGGCGAGGGCGACGAAAAGAAGAGAGGGGGGAGGGGAGAGGGGGGGTAGGAGAAGGAAAAAGAGGAGGATCATGATGAGGAGGTGGGAGGGCGAAGCGAGGGGGAGGGGTGGGATGAAGAGGGAGCGAAAGGAGGTGGAAAGAGCTAGGAGGAGGAGGAGGAGGCGGAGGAGTTCAGCGGAGAAACATGCGAAAGGCAGCTGGGGAGCTACCGAGGTGGACGGTGGACGCATCTGGCTTACATCCAGCGCGAACTGGGGGCCACAGATGCCCCCCTGCAAGTTGGCGGTGCTTGCTTGTGTGGGCTGACACTTGTCCAGCCTGGGTGACCAGACTCTGGGCCCTCCTCTCGTGGGAATCGAACTGCACAGAAAAAAAGGAACACCACCAGCGCGATGATAATGGGAAAGAAGGGCCCCTTCCTCCTCCTCCTCCTCCTCCTCCTCCTCCTCCTCCTCCTCCTTCCTCCTCCTCCTCCTCCTCCTCCTATCTCCTCCTCCCTCTCCCTCTCTCCCTCTCTCCCTCCTCTCCCTCTCTCCCTCTCTCCCTCTCTCCCTCTCTCCCTCTCTCCCTCTCTCACCTCTCTCTCCCTCTCTCCTCTCTCCTCTCTCCCTCTCTCCCCTCTCCCCCTCTCTCCTCTCTCCTCTCTCCCTCTCTCCCTCTCTCCCTCTCTCCCTCTCTCCTCTCTCCCTCTCTCCCTCTCTCCCTCCCTCCCTCCCTCCCTGCCTCCTAAATCCTCCTCCTCCCTCCTCCCTCCTCCTCCTCCTCTCCTCCTCCTCCTCCTCCTCCTCCTCCTCCTCCTCCTCCTCCTCTCTCCTCCTCACTGCTCTTCCTCTCCCTCCCTCCTCCTCCTCCTCCTCCTCCTCCTCCTCCGCCTCCTCCTCCTCCTCCTCCTCCTCTCCTCCTCCTCCTCCTCCTCCTCCTCCTTTCCTGACCCCCCTCCTCCTTCTTCTGCTCCGCTCCCCCCCCTCCCCTCCCCTTCGCCGACTCGGCCAAGCGCGGCGGGCGCGCCGCGCCCCGGGCGCGACCCAGCTGAAGGCCGCCGGCCCGGCGTCCAAGAAAACTCCGCGCCCCCCGCACCCGCTAGCGGAGGATGAGAGAGGAGGAGGAGTGAGGAGAGAGAGGAGGGAAAGGAGGAGGGGAGGGAGGAGGAGGAGGAGGGAGAAGGAGGCGGAGGAGGACGGAGAGGAGCAGCAGGAGGAGGAGGAGCAGCAGCAGCAGGAGGAGGAGGAGATGTCAGCCCCTGTCCCAGGCTCTGGGGAGGTTTTCGACTGGACCAGAAGATTGGGGGCCCGACCCTCGGACAGACGATGAGGGGGCGTCCAGCCTCGAGAAGGGGGTGCGTCCGAATAGCCTCCTTGGGGGGTATATCCCAGGGTTTCCCCCTGGCTCCTCCTCTCTCTCGCTCCTCCTCCTCCTCCTCCTCCTCCTCCCATCCTCCTCCTCCTCCCCTGATCGGGCCCAAACTTTCGGCGGATTCGCTGGGGATTGGGGGTGAAACATCCACACGCGAACCCGCGTCCTCCGCCGCCGAGTCTAGGGCTACGAGCGGGCCCCCGTTCTCACTCCTCCCCGACGATGCACTTGCCTGAAGTCACCCCATCCCGAACCCCTCCCCGCCCCCCCTCCTCCCCTCTCCTCCTCCTCCTCCTGCCTCCTCCTCCTCCTCCTCCTCCTCCTCCTCCTCCCTCCTCTCCTCCACTCCCCTCCCCTCCCCTCCCCTCCCCTCCCCTCCTCTCAGGACCCGATAGGGGGCAGCATCGGCAGCAATCGCGCGCGCGCGGCCTTCGTCGGGAGCGAGGCGGGCTGGTGCCATCGCCTCGCGGCGTGCGCGCGCCGGCGCGCCTGCTCGTCACTGCGAAACGGGTGCGGGAGAGACGGGTACAATGCCCGACAACTAACGAACGAACGAACGAACGCCAGATCCGTGCGCACGCCGCTTGGGCGCCCGCACGCGCCCGTTTGGGCGTGGCGGTGGGGGCCGTAGTCTCGATGCGGAAAAACATCTGGTGTGTCTGAGGAACATGCAATGCGAGATACATTTAAAAAGTTAGGAAAGGAGGGGGGAGAGATCCTTGGAGTCGTTGTCAGCGCTGAGCTCGGTATGCCCGACAACTAGTGTTGTCCAAAACCAACAGCAGCCGCCGTTGGGCAGGCCGCCTTCTGTCGCAAATGGGCACAACGTCCGCGGCAACGTCTGCAGCAGGTCTGGTTCAAAATAACCATGACCTGCTTTCGGTCTTTGTGTCCATTCTTCCCTTACCCATTTCCGTCGTACCGATCCTCATCACGTTCCCTCAACAACCCTCCTACATACCAACTCCTCATGCATGCCACTCCTTCCTACTGCCACTGCGCCTCCATCTTACCTCATCCTCCTCATCGTCCTTTTTCTCCACCCCTTTCCTCCTTCCCCCCATCCCAACTACCTCCCTTTTCCTGGCTTCTCGGCTCTCTCATCCCGCCCCCCTCCTAGAAAAACGCGCAAGGCACGAACACGATGAAGACGAAACCGACGACGACGAAGAAGACACCGACGACGACGACGAAAACTAATCACGAGGACGACGTGGACAGCGAGGACGACACCGACGCCGACGACGACGACGCCGAAGAGAAAACGAAGACGACAACATCGTGTAATGCGGGCTTATCCATATCCGCCGCCCGGGAATCGACGTCCTGGGGACCCTGCGGGCGGTGGACCTGGATATATGTTGGCCCCTGGGTGCGACAAAAATATCCACATCCACCTCCTGGGGAGGTCCGCGAAAGTCGATCCTCCGGGCGGTGGCCATGTATGCATTCCCGCCTGGAGCACCATGACGACGGCGAAGACGTCGACGACGATGGCGACGGCAGCGGCGGCGGCTCGCGCGCGGCCGTCCGGGGTGGGCGCCGTGGCCTGGCGTCTTGGGACGCCTCCTCGCGCGAGCTGGCGGGTCCAGGGGCGCGTCCCTCCCCCGGCGGCGAGCGGGGGGGGGAAGTGAAAAGGACAAGGACTTGTCAGAAGCCCTCGCGCCTTCTTAGAGGTTTTGTGTGTTCCTGGGGAGGCTTAGAAAACCTCTCGAAGACCAGTGGACTTCCGAGCCTTCTGAGAAGACCCGCCCCTGCTCGCTTCCCCCCTTGGCTCGATGCCGAGTCTCCCGCATAACTCACGGGAGAGAGCACATCCATGTCCATGCCCTTGCAATGTGGACGCGGGCCAGATTTGTTCCGCGGCAGCGTCTCGGGTAAGTGAGAGGGGGCGGGCCTTCTCAGAAGGCTCGGGAGTCCCCCAGCCTTCTGACAAACCCCGTTTTTTTTTGAGAAGGCCCTCTCCTTCACGCTGTGGGAGCGAGCACGTCCATGCCCATGTGCTTGCAATCTGGATGCGGGCGAGATTCGTACCCACATTCACTGCAGCTTGGGCTTCCGGGCTCTTTTCCCTACAGACCCGATGCGCTCTGGATATGGATACGCACTCGGCCCCCGCAGGCAAGAGTTCTAACCACACCCAGTGTGCCTCGGCCTTTTGGTGCCCCCTCCCAGGAAGTCCAAGACGTAGCGGATATGGACATATAAATGTTGCCCGCACTGGGTGCCCACCCGCGACCCCACGGACACGGGGTCCCACGCGCACGCCTCCGCACGGGCCCTCCGCGCACCCACGGGAACGCGGGGCCGCGGAATTTGAAAATCTGCTTCCCGCCATCGGCCCACAGTGCGGCGTGGGCACACTGGGGGCCCGACCACAAGAGACGCTTTCCACGGCAAAACTATTGAAACCCAAGAAACCCAGGGCACTCTGGAAGCGAGCAGGGTGTTTTTTTGGCATGGGTCTCCACTGTAAGGGTTGTTTTCTGTTTTCCGGTGATAACCCAAGTCATCCGGTCGGGGAGGGGCAAAAGGGGAGGATACCCCGACCTTGTTGCGTTGAGCAGCCCCACGTGTGCCCGCGCACTCCAGTACTGCGAGCCCCCGTCGTACCTGCGCAGGCGACGAGGTCAGGTTATCCGAGGGGGGGAAGGGGGGGGGCGGGCGGGCTCGATAGCCTGGGCGGGGACGAGGGCGGGGGACCGACATGAAGGAAAGGAGTCCCAGAGGAAATGGGTCCAGGAGGTGTTTCGCCGACCGAGCGGGTCCTGCTGCCATTCCCGGTCCCTGGGCACCGTCAGAAAAAAACTGCTCGGGATGAAAATCGGGGGCGTCCAAGATCCAAGAGGGGGCTTCCAAGAGGGGATTTCGCAACTCATGGCCAACAGTATGTGCGCGGACGAAGGGGAGACCACAAGACGTGTCCCAAAAAAGGGGCGACCGTGAACTCCGGGGGGATATCGTGGACCCAGGCACGAGATCCCCCCCAGATATCACCCCCCTCTTGGCCGCCCCCCAGGGGGGGCCAAGAGGGGGGTGATAGCTAAGAATAGGAGGGTCCTGGGTAGTTGGTGATAACTAGGGGGGTGATAACTAGGAGGGGGGGTAACTAGGAAGACCTGGTCCTGGAGGGCCCTGGGTCCTGAACCCTCTCTCCGCCAGGCCTCCTCTCCCTCGTGCCAATGGCGAGGCGAGGCGAGGCGATCGCCGACTCCGCCCAGTGCGCGCACGCGCGGGGTGCCTCCTAAGGAGGACGACGGTGGGGCCGTAGTCCCTCAGAGAGAATGCGTCCATCTCTATCCGGGCCCATGTGGTCTCCTCCTCTGGGCCCCTTGGCAGAATTCTGGACCCCGGAAGCAAGCCTTGTGACTCCATTTGTCCGGGCTGTCGTTGGTTAGATGTCGTGCCCATTCTTATTTCCTTATCTCTCAATCCAGATAGAGGAGGAGCGATGGAGACGAATCGCTCGACGCAGGCTCCTGCTGTGCGGGCAGTGGGCAGACGCGTTCGGGCGAGTGGCCAAGATGGCGACGCGGACGAGCCAAATCCAGGACAGGTGCTGCAGCCCTGGCCAGAGGAGGCAGAGAGGCGAGAGAGGAGGAAGACTACCTCCCTGCTCATCCCACTCCCCTTCTCCTGCTCCTCCCTCCTGCCTCCTCCTCCGCTCAACGTGGGGGAAATGGATCCTGAGGGAAACGGGTCCTGGACCCTG